AGGAGACCTCCTCCTCTTCTCCTTCATTTTAACCCCCTCGAAGGCCAAGCCGGAGGAAGGTCTTGCCTCTTTTTGAGGCAAATTTTTGCAAAACGCCAAAGGATGGGGGAAATGAGTCATAAAACGCAAATTCCGCCCCTTTTAGGAACAGGTGAAGATAGAAAAAATGAATTGCAAGGCGGCTTGCTTCAGGATACATACCGAGGGAGCCATGGATCGGTAGAGGGATGCGGAGATCAGAGCTGGGCGTCTGTGACTACAACTCCCAGTATCCCCAGCCAGCATTGCCGCAGTCCAAAAATGGAAAAGCTGATTTCTCCCAAAAGTGGGTGGTGGTAGTGATGGTGGTGGTGAAAGGGCTCCTTGGGGGGGTGCCGTCGTCTCCATGCTCGCTGGGGATTATGGGAGGTGTAGTCCGCAGACTACCCAACTCTGCAAAAGGTCGTTTTCTGCAGAAGAGGTGTGCCTGAAAAGGGAATTCTTGGGGACCATTATCGCCCGTGACCGCTAGATGGCACTCTTGTATTTAAAAAAAATCTCTCTTCAGTCGTCTTTCCCCTCCTCCCCTTTAAGTACAGTACGCTAGCATTTCGCACGCTAGCAAGGTTATGCTCAAAATCCTGCAAGGTAGGCTTCAGCAATATGTGGACCGAGAACTCCCAGAAGTACAAGCTGGATTCCGAAGAGGCAGAGGAACTCGAGACCAAATTGCTAACTTGCGCTGGATTATGGAGAAAGCCAGAGAGTTCCAGAAAAATATCTACTTCTGCTTCATTGACTATGCGAAAGCCTTTGACTGTGTGGACCACAGCAAACTATGGCAAGTTCTTAAAGAAATGGGAGTGCCCGACCACTTTATCAGTCTCCTGAGAAACCTATATGCGGGACAGGAAGCAACAGTTAGAACTGGTCATGGAACAACTGAGTGGTTCAAAATTGGGAAAGGAGTACGGCAAGGCTGTATATTGTCCCCCAGCTTGTTTAACTTATATGCAGAATACATCATGCGGAAGGCTGGACTGGAAGAAACCCAAGCCGGAATTAAGATTGCCGGAAGTAATATCAACAACCTCCGATATGCAGATGATACCACTCTGATGGCAGAAAGTGAGGAGGAATTAAAGAACCTTGTAATGAGAGTGAGAGAGGAGTGCAAAAAACGGTCTGAAACTCAACATCAAAAAAACTAAGATCATGGCCACTGGTCCCATCCCCTCCTGGGAAATAGAAGGGGAAGATATGGAGGCAGTGTCAAATTTTATCTTCCTGGGCTCCATGATCACTGCAGATGGAGACAGCAGCCCTGAAATTAAAAGGCGCCTTCTTCTTGGGAGGAAAGCGATGACAAATCTTGACAGCATCTTGAAAAGCAGAGACATCACCTTGCCAACAAAAGTCCGAATAGTCAAAGCTATGGTTTTTCCAGTAGTGATGTATGGAAGTGAGAGCTGGACCATAAAGAAAGCACACCGCCGAAGAATTGATGCCTTTGAATTGTGGTGCTGGAGGAGACTCTTGAGACTTCCCTGGACTGCAAGGAGAACAAACCTATCAGTTCTAAAGGAAATCAACCCTGAATGCTCACTTGAAGGACAGATCCTGAAGCTGAGGCTCCAGTACTTTGGCCATCTCATGAGAAGAAAAGACTCCCTGGAAAAGACCCTGATGTTGGGAAAATGTGATGGCAAGAGGAGAAGGGGACGACCGAGGATGAGATGGCTGGACAGTGTCTGCGAAGCAACCAACATGAACCTGACACAACTCCGGGAGGGAGTAGAAGACAGGAGGGCCTGGCATGCTCTGGTCCATGGGGTCACGAAGAGTCGGACACGACTAAACGACTAAACACACACACATAGAAAAAAAATCGATTTTCAGAAATGACTACAGTATCTTTTACAATTACTTTATTTTAACCTTGTGGGTTATTGTCGATTTGGTCAGATGCACGGAGGACACTAATCGCTCCAACATGCTCAACTCAGAGGGCTCAAAAGGTTTCTTTTGGGGGGAATGATGGGAGATCTAGTCCTAAAAATTTAGTTAAAATGTTTATTAAAATTACCATTTTTTAAAAAATTACCTCAATATTTAACAAATAAATATATTTAACATTGACCGAGAAGCCCCCTTGATCAATGTAAAGCTTGCCTGAAGAAAAAAGTGATTCACTTCCTTGCGGAAGGAAAGTCAAGATGGGGGCTTAGATTTTGAGCATCCTGAAAAATCATACTAGGGCTTATTTTCAGGTTAGGGCTTATTTTCAGGCTTGTACCATAGTTGTCCAGAATAACAGTGTTATCCAAATCTAGACCAGGTACGGTAGCAGCTTTTCCATTTTATATTGGAAATATTTTATTTTTCCTGCCATTGTGGTTGTGTTGTAGGTAAGGTGCCATTATGAAGAAATGACCTCTGTCCTCGTCATGCTCAGGTCTTGCAAACTCAAGCCTGTGGTTCTTAGGGAGTGAGTCCATCTCACATAAGGTCTTCCTCTTCTCCTAATACAGTCCACTTCCCCTAGTATTCTTGCTTTTTCCGATTATTTTCCTAGTATGTCCAAAGCTCAAGTTTCCGCCTAGTCATTTTTCCTATCCTGACCTTGATCTCCAGGGACACATATTTACATTTGATCATCTTCTCTCATCGCGGAAGATCCGCTTCCACACTCAGCCATGAAACTCTCTGGGTGATTGTGGCCCTCGCAGGGTTACGGTGAAGATAAGACGGAAGTGTTGTTAATGGGTGGTTCGTCCGACAGGCTAGAGGGCCAGGTGACACTGGATACCAGTTGTTTTGTTGTTGTTGTTTAGTCTGACTGGTGCTGACATTAAAAACCTTCCTGTTCCGGAAATTTTTTAATTGAAATTTTTATTTTTAATTAATAAGTCATGGATCTAGATTGTTTTTGTAGATTGTTTCTGTTTTTATTTTTGCTTTTGTAGAGTGGATGTGGCCGTATTGGTTTTTAGTGTGTCTGTTTTTAACTGAACTGTTTTAACGGATGTTGGAAGCCACCCGGGGACTCTTGCAGAGGACGGGCGGCATACAAGTTGAATGAATAAATAAAAATAAAGAAATAATTAAAAGGGCAAGGGAGAGAACCAAGTTTGTGGCCTTGACCCCTCCGGAGCAAAGACGTTTAAAAAAAAAAAGGCATAAGATAGCTCCACAATTAACCAAAGGGGTCATTGGGCACATTCGAAGTAAGTCATAAAGCCAACCCTAAAATGTTGTTTTGCAGCATGGTGTACTGTAAGATTATTTCCCAAAATCCTGGGTCAAGGACACCAACCTGCCCCCTTTTAACCAATGGCTTCCTCGCCATTTAAATCATCATCATCTTAGAACTGGAAAGGGCCCTCAGATCATGAGTCCAGCCCCTCTGAAGGAATTTCCAGTGGGGGGAATCAAACTCCCAAACTCTGGGAGTTGCCTAAACCACTGAGCTGTCCAGTTAAAACAATTATCGGGGGGAGGGGACACACCACAAAAAAGTCATTCTATAATACACACTTTTCTTTTTCTTTTCTTACAAGTCACTTCTCTTTACCTCCCTGTCCCATTCTCACCCCCAGTTTTTGCCCGTCTGCCTTCCCCAGTCTTCCAAGCATACTGGGCAACTTTTTCTAATTTCCCTTGTTTTTGTTTTTTTAGAAGGCGGACTCCCTCCTATGGAATCGTGTCTCGTCTTGCACTTCCCATAAAACTCAGCCCCAGCCAGCCATTTCCTTTGGCCTTCAGGCTCAAGAGAAGCCATTGTTTCTCAGCTAAAAGGGATGATGATCATGCCTTCAAGGTCTGCACTTTCGTTCTTTTGGCTAAAGCCCCCCCCCAAAAGTCGAGCCAGTGGGGGGAATTCCTCCAGACTTTCAGGGACTGCAGGCCATGAATTCTGAAAAACCCACGCCTAGAAGTCTGCAATTCAACAATTGCTACCATTTCTCGCCTTGAGAAGCTTTTTCGTCCGGCAAACTTTATGACTTGCCTCTGTATCCTCTGGCTGAACGTACATTGCAGGCAATAAGAGTTTCTTTTGCCCCCTTTATTTTTGTTAAAAATAATTACATAATGTTTTTTAAATACAAATTTAAAAAAAAATCAAGTGCGGGAAATCAGAGAGGAAATCCAAGTACAATAGGACCACAGGATCCGCAGAGGATTGTTTCTAAGCTTTTCCTGCAGATACCGAAAAATGCAGCCTTGACCCCATTTCTAGTAAATACATGCCAGAAATACATATAAATACCGTGTTTCTCCGAAAATAAGACAGGGCCGTATATTAATTTTTGCTCAAAAAACACATTAGGGCTTATTTTCCGGTGATGTTTTATTTTTTTCATGTGCAACTATCTACATTTATTCAAATACAGTCGTGTCATCTTCTTCTGGTTGCTGCACAATGGTGAAGGGTGGGGTTTCACATAACTGGGGCTTTTTTTTGGAGTAGTGCTTAGATTACAAGCATGCTGAAAAATCATACTAGGGCTTATTTTCAGGTTAGGTGTTATTTTCAGAGAAACAGCATACATATTTCTGTTTGTTTTTTAATTGAGTATTTTCAGGCAGTGGATAAGTGAATCAGCCGATACTGATCCCGTGGATAAGGGGGACCTAGTATACAGTGGTGCCCCGCCTGACGATGATAATCCGTTCCAGGAAAATTGCTGTTAAGCGAAATCGTTGTCAAGCAAAAAACTAAACCATTGGAATGCATTGAAAACCGGCCAATGCATTCCAATGGGGAAATACCTCATTGTCCAGCAAAGACTGCCCATAGAGAACTGCCGATCTGCTGTTAAAAATCTCTGTCTTCCGAAGCAGGGGTCCGGAAAGCAGCCATTTTGAGGGAAGCCTTTTTGCGGAGGGAAGCCATTTTGCGGAACCGGAAAAATCGTGGTATAGCGAACAAACAGTTCGCTAAGCAGGCTCCTAATCAACATAATACGGATTTCCCCCATTGGAACCGTTTTGCGATCACAAAAAAGTCATCGTTAAGCGATTTTGACATCATGCAGGGAAGCGTCTAGTGGGGCACCACTGTACTTTAGTTATGAAAAAGTAAGGAAAACAATGCCAGTACACAATGATGGGGCAAAGATATTCACTAATTAGGTGTAGTAGACTTTATTCTGATGCCCAGCTGTAGAGCAGAAGGGCAATCACTGCCCTCTGCTCCACAATCTGGAAGGCTTTTTGCCACACACAGTTGCGTGGCAGATCCTGCAACCAGGGGGAGAACAGAGACACACTGCAGAAGCTGCCAGAGCAGACAGAAAAACGCTTCCATGACTGCCCTTCCGCTCCGTGCTGAGGCACGAACGTGCTGGCCCTAATTCGAACAAGCAGGGCTGGTGCCCTAGTGACTTAGCAGTGGCGCAATATACCTTGAAACAGGTTTAATGCAGTATAGATCGTACCTGTATATCCTACCTGAACATGAAGAGTTCAAGCTGATGGCGGAAGGAGACATGTTCAGGCATAAGCCCACTCAAAACCTTTGGATATCTGTTCAATTTTTTACACTGCCAGAGGAGAGGGAACTTCCTAGAACAAAAGCAATATACACACAACAATCGTTGCTGGGGAAAAAGAGAGAGGGAGGGATACACTACAGCATGCAGCCATTATTATAAGAAGCCGTAGGGAGTCCAGAAAACATTTAATGGACAACAACCATGTGAAATGGACTGTCATTTTAACACGGGACGGCGCCCATAAGGAATCTGGAATGGCCTCCCAGCCATGCATCGTTTCTCCCCTTGGTGAATAATCTGGTGTCTGCTCAGGCTAGACCTCTGACCGAAACTCTTTCCACACTCTACGCACTGAAAGGGTTTCTCTCCAGTGTGGTTCATCTGATGGACCATGAGGTTCCTTTTTTCCGAGTACCTTTTCCCACACTCCAGGCATTGATAGGGTTTCTCTCCCGTGTGGATCATCTGATGCCTACCGAGGGTGGCTTTCAGACTGAAGCTCTTCCCGCATTCCAGGCACATATAAGGTTTCTCTCCGGTGTGGCTGATCTGATGAGCCACGAGGCTTTGGCGATAACTATACCCTTTCCCACACACGAGGCATTTGTAGGGTTTCTCCCCGGTGTGAATCCTTTGATGACTATTGAGGTTTGATTTCTGACAGAAAATCTTTCCACACTCCAGGCACTTGTACGGCTTCTCCTCTCCATGGATCCCTTTCTCCCCGGCCTTCATAATCTGATGTTTATAGAGGGTCTCGAGCTGACTGAAGCTCCTCCCACACTCCAGGCATTTATAAGGTTTCCCTCCTATATGAATGAGCTGGTGCGTGCTGAATGTTGATCTGTGACTGTAGCTTTTCCCACACTCCAGGCATTTATAGGGTTTCTCTCCCGTGTGCTTCCTTTGATGGGCAGTGAAGTTTCTCTTCTCAGCATAGGTTTTTCCACACTCAAGGCACTTGTAAGGTTTCTCGGCAACGTGAACAACCTGGTGCCTTTTGAGGCTTCCGCTCCGACTGAAGCTCTTCCCGCACTCCAGACATCGGTAGGGTTTCTCTCCCGTGTGATCCAGCTGATGGGCGATGAGGCTTATGCTGTGGCGAAAACATTTCCCACACTCCACGCATTTGTACGGCTTCTCTCCCGTGTGGATCCTCTGGTGGCTGAGAAGGCTCGATCGCTCGTAGAACCGCTTCCCACACTCCGCGCATTTCAAGGGTTTCTCCCCGGTGTGAATTCGGAGATGTTTCTTCAGATGCGATTTGGCGGGAAAGCGCTTATTACACTGCACGCACTTATAGGGTTTCTCACCCAAATGGATCCGCTCATGTGCAGTAAGGTATTTCTTACAACTGAAACACTTACCGCACTGCGCGCATCTGTATGGCTTTACCCCTCCGTGAAGCGGCTGATCATACCCGGTCCCCGTCCTCACATCAAAGCTTTTTTCACATTCTGGACATTTAAAGGTTTCCTCCCTCGTCTGATCTCTTACAGGAATATTGAGATTTGATTTACAGCAGAAGTGTCTTCCACACGCAAAGCACTGCCTGCTCTCCTTGCATGGGTCTGTTTTGTCTTGTCCAGCCCTTTCCCAGAGGGAAGCAGCCTGTGAAAGGTCCTTTTGCCTCTTCTGGTCTCCTCCTCTTTCGTATCTGGCATCTTCCAAGAACGTCACACAGCCTCCTACTTCATTCGCGCTCTCCGAATCACCGTCACCTCAAAAGAAGAGAACAACAACTAGTAAGAGGGAACAGAAAACCTGGAAATCAAGGACGCAGCGCAGAACAATGAGCGTGTGTGTGTGTGTGTGTGTGTGTGTGTGTGTGTGTGTGTGCGCGTGTGTCCGTGTCCCCTGGTGGAAAAGGACAGGAGATGTCAGCTGTATCATTCCCCTAGATTTTGTTGAGTTGCATTTCTCATCAGCCGTAGCTGGCTTGGAGTCTGGGGAGGGACATCAACAGAGCGCAGTGGTTCCCAACCTTGAGTGATCCACATGTTCTTGGACCGCAACTCCCAGATGTTTTTGTGACTAGCTGTGCTGTCCCAGGGTTTCTGGGAGTTGCGGTTCAAGAACAGGTGGGTTATCCAAGGTTGAGAATCACTGGCATAGCAGTCTGGTGGCAGCATCCGGGACATACGTTCCACTCAGATTATCAGCATTAATTGCCGGTGATCAGTCTGTTATGTTTTGGTCCACCCAAATCAAATTTCCATTCTTATAAAAGCAAAGCAAAGAAAGGCATGCTGCTTATATACCACCCCATAGCATTTAAAGCATTTTCAAGGTAGTTTACGATTTAATTATACTGGCTACACATTGCCCCCCCCCCACCGTGCAGCAAGCTGAATACTCATTTTACTGACCTCGGAAGGATGGAAGGCTGAGTCAACCTTGAGCTGGCTACCTGAGTCTCTCAGGATTGAACTCAGGTTGTGAGCAGAGTCTTGACTGCAGGACTGCAGTTTAACCACTGTGCCATGAGGCTTTTATTCAGTAACTTAATGTCTTTTTAAACAGCTTGACATGAAACATCCTCCAAGCAGTGTAAAAACTTGACAAGTATACAGTCGTGCCCCGCTTAACGATTACCCCATACAACGATGAATCTGCTTCACGACGATGTTTTTGCTATCACAATTGCGATCGCAAAACAAAGTTTTAAATGTTTTTTTTTCGCTTTGCAAAGATCGGTTCCCTGCTTCGGGAACCGATTCTTCGCATTACAACGATCAAAACAGCTGATCATTGCATTTTCAAAATGGCCGCCAGGTGGTCAAAATGGCTCCCTGCTGTGTTTTTGGACGGATTCCTCGCTCTACAGGCACTGAAAATGGCCGCCCCATGGAGGATCTTCGCTGGACGGTGAGTTTTCAGCCCATTGGAACGCATTGAATGGTTTTCAATGCATTTCAGTGGGCTTTTTTATTTGGCTTTATGACGTTTTCGCTCTACAGCGATTTCGCTGGAATGAATTAACGTCGTTAAGCGGGGCACCACTATATAACACAAAAAGTAAACTGGCAGGTGAGTACATTTAACTACAGCAGTAATAACATCTGTTATTACAAAAGAGCAGCAATGCTAAGAAGTCTTGCGATAACAGAACTATTTAAAAACTGAAAATGTCCTCATTTGTTCAAGCACACTGATAAACCATTACAGGATATATTTATAAAAATATTAAGAAGAAGAATTGCAGAACTGTCAAGGAGACACAGTTGGGAATCGAACTCCACAGCCAGATATATAAACCACTGGGTGCATTAAGTACTTGTTTATTGCCCTTCACACACCGGGGGGACTGAAGGTGATTTTAAAATAGATCAGAGTGATCAAAATCAGCTTTTAAAAAGTCAAAACAACTTCAAAACATTTAAAAAAAGATTTAAACCACGGCTCAAAACTAGCTTAAAAAACACAAACACCCCAAAAATAGTCTTAGTGACCAGAAAGGAAACCAAGGCCGGTTTGAAACACTGATTATTGTCTGCGACCTGGAAACTTGTTTTATGGAGCAAATGTGATCCTTACTGAGAGACTCCACGATTCCGTGATTCTCCTCCATGACTTCCGTGTGCAGGGCCCTTTGGTCCGGGTCCAGCAGGGCCCATTCCTCCTCGGTAAAATACACAGCCACTTCCTCAAAAGTCACCTGAAAGAAGAACATGTTTCCTCATCATTAACCCCTGGCTTTCACTGCTAAGTAAAAACCAAGAAGATACTTTAGTTGATGTAGTGAAGGTTCAGATAGAGGATTCAGGACTTCAGGATGGGCACACACATACCCCCAAACAGAAACACCGGGTTCTGAAGATAACTTCTTGTCTGCCAAAAACACATTGGAGGATAACGCACGCCCTGTTGCGATGTGCCATTAAGTTGATTCTGACGTATAGCAGTTAATAATGTCCAAGATGTTATATTGCCTTTTGCAAAGTCATGGCTTCCTTTATCGGATCACTCTATCTCATGTTCTGACTCCCTCTTTCCCTCCTGCTTTCCACAAACCCCACAGAACCAATGGATTCTAACAGGGATATCTCCCTGAATCCCCACTAATTCAACGGGCCTTCTCTGATTGTGACTTTCCCCTTCTGGGTTGATAAGTGAACCATGATATCAAAAATATTAACAACTGACCACTAACCACAACAAAGCATTAACCACTTCATTGTCCACGCTAAAGGCGAGCCATTCTTCTGAAGCCACTGGCTAGAATTCTATCGCAGTTTTATTCTAGAGTCAGTGCAACCGTATAAACTGCAACAGTACATTGCAGCTAATTAATGAGGCGCCAGTCTCCTCCTGGTCTGTGCACCAAGTTGCATAACAGACATATGTGCAAATGCATAATTAGCACATCCTTAATTGGCTCTCCATTCACCACCACAATTTATGTGACTTTACATGTGCTGGAGTAAAATTCCAGCAAAATTATGGCCACTGTTATGAACTTCTTAACATCTGCAGCTTTAGGACTTTCTGCTATAATCTTTAAAGGTAAAGGTAAAGGTTCCCCTTGACAATTTTTGTCCAGTCGTGTTCGACTCTAGGGGGCGGTGCTCATCCCCGTTTCCAAGCCATAGAGCCAGCGTTTTGTCTGAAGACAATCTTCCGTGGTCACATGGCCAGTGCGACTTAGACACGAAACGCTGTTACCTTCCCCCCGAGGTGGTCCCTATTTATCTACTTGCATTTGCATGCTTTCGAACCGCTAGGTTGGTGGGAGCTGGGACAAGCGATGGGAGCTCACTCTGTCACGTGGATTTGATCTTACGACTGCTTGGTCTTCTGACCCTGCAGCACAGGCTTCTGCGGTTTAGCCCGCAGCGCCACCACGTCCTTTGCTATAATCTTTACCAGCAGTCAATTCAGATGACTGCTGCCTTCCGCCAGCAAAAGGTATCCTCTGCTTATCTGAAATTATTGGTGTCGTTTCTGCCAGTTTTCACTCGTTCTTCCTCTGAAATACATCGCGCCTTTCCAGGGCCCACATAATCGCCTCGCCATTACTACAGCACATCTAATGTTCTGTCCCATACCTGATCCCGCTGCACCGAGGCTCTTTCCTCCGGGTCACAAAAAAGAGAATGCGGCGTCAACAGAGTGGGTGTTCTCAGCCTATCTCCTGTGAGTGGCAAAATGAAAAAGGCATAAGGAGGATTCATTTACTAATGTCTTATTTAGAACCTGTTCTTGAACGGATCCACCCCCAAAGTCATCTATGACTTATAACAAAAAGCAAGAAGGTAAAATGATTATTGCCCAAAGGAGTGTGTTCAATATGGCTCCTTTCAAGCCCTACCTAAAGATACTAAGGATGATCCACAGATCCTGGGGAATACAAAGCACATGCTCTGTCTAGCTAGCATTGCAGTTAGGCTGCAATCCAGCCTTTGCCTAACATCACCCAACAAAAAACCACCACTTCCTCAGAAAGACCCCTCAGACACCATGAGAAATGTCCTCCTGAAAAGCTCTAGTTGTAGTTGCGAGGTGAGGAGGCAACCTTCACCCAACCTGAAAACACCACAGTGCTCAGTTTGCTTTCAGAGTTCGCCTCTTGACTTGAAAATATAAGAGGCAAGCGCTGAAAGCAAATCCCATAAAGTGATCTAGAGCAGGAGTGGATGGTCTTCAGAGGTTCGGGGACCCCATGGCACCCCATCCCTGGCCCTTGAAGGGCCACACCTGCTACAGCTCCCTCCCCCTGAATTTTTTTTCATATACAAATACAGGCTATTTTTTTAACTGAATAAGTTCTCTTGCGCTCTCTAGTGGCCAAAAATTATATTTTTAAATAGACCCAGGAGGAGGGATTCACCTCCACCACCCACAGGAAAGCACAAGGAGCTATTTTTAGTCATTTCTTTTTCTCCCCCCCCAAAAAACAGTATTTTTCTCCTCAGGTGTCAGGGGGCTGGGGACCACATGCTGCCCAGTCCTTCCCGTACTGACAGCTTAAAGGCTTATGTGTTTGGTTTGAGTTTTTTGTAGACTACGGTCCACTCTATCAGATGCAAATATCAATCTGAACATTCTTACACGACAGAAACACAATGGGTTGGCGGGATAGCTCAGCGGTTAAGTATCTCGCTGCAGAGCCAGAGATTGTGAGTTCAATTCCCCCCACTGTGACTTTCCAGGGAGACAAGCCAGACTGTGTGGCCTCGGGCAAGCTCCACAGTCTCAGTGCCCCAGGAAGAAGGAAATGGGGAACCATTTTTGAGTCCTTCTCTACCTAGAACACCCTGGGAAGGAATTACACAAATTGGAACTGATTTGATGGCATGTGATAATTTGAGGAAATATTTGCTGGAGGCCAGCACTCTGAAAAATGAATGCAGACTGCTTCTTTCAGGTGCCCTGAGGGGAAGAAAAGC